CCTTTCCTCCTCCATTTTAAACCAAGTAAGTCTTCTTAAGTAAACTCTTACACAGAAATATATAACCTCATTACTGATGTGAAAGTGCTACATGAAATGTAAGCAACTAAGTAACAGTAATAATAATCCTTTTAATTTTTGCTGTTGTTGCTAATCACTTGAGATAAGTTCCTTCTCATTAGTTCACTCTGTGGATTAAAATAAACCATGATTATCATGGCTGTGAAATGTAAAAGCAGTATCAAGGATACATAAAATTTATGAGTAACAAAGGGAACATCCTAGCTTTAAATTTTTTAAATTTATTTTATGTGTATAAGTGTTTTACTTCTGCATTAGTTACTTTTCTGTTGCTGTGATAAAACACCATGACTAAGGGAACTTATAGGAAGAAGAGTTTATTTGAGCTTACAGTTCCAGGTTCCAGAGGGATTTAGAGTCTGTCCTGGTGGGGAGGCATGGTGAGGTGGTCAGAGCAGGAGCAGAAAGCTAAGCATTCATGTCTTAAAGCAGGCACAGGAAGCAAAGACCAACTGGAAATCTGGTAAGGCTTTAGAACCCTGAAAGCCTGCCCCCAGGGATGTGCTTCCTCTAGCAAGGCCACACCTTCTAAGAACTCCCAAAACAGTGCCACCAACTAGGGACAAAATGTCCGAATACTTGGAACCTATGGGGTTCCATTCGAACCACCACCATTCTCATTCGAACCACCACAGCCTACATGCATGTAAATGCACCATGTGTGTGCAATGTCTGTAGAGGCCAGAAGAGGATGTCAGATGCCCTGGAACTGAAGTTACAGATGGTTGTTGACTGCCATGTGGGTGCTGGGAACCCAACTCAGATCCTCTGCAAGAGCAGTCAATGCTCTTAACTGCTGAGCCAGCTTTCTAGCCCCACATCCTAGCTTTAAAGGAGTCATATTACCCATTATTGCCAGTTACATCAGTTTGTGAAATCTTGAAAGAATCTAGAAGTCATCTTTTGAAACAATAATTGGAAAGAAGTGGGAAATATGGGAACGTTAACTTGGGTTCTAACTAAGGAGAACTTTAGCTAAGGAGTTTGAATTTATTTTCCAAGTGCAAAAGGGATTTTTTGAATGATTTTAAACATAGCAATGATGAGCAAAGCACAACTGAGTTAGTTTTGCATAATTATACCCAATGAATTTGAATGGAAAAAGAATAGTCTGAAGATAAGGACCAATTGTGGTAGTTCAAACTTTAAGGGAAAGAGCCTAAGATATGTCTAATAGGTTTGACATCACTGTGAAGATACATCATATATGGAAAGGAGGAAAGATTTGTTTGGATGCACAGTTTCAGTCCATGGTTGCTTGGCTCTGTTGCTGTCGGCTGGGGTGAGGCAGAACATCATAATAGAGGGCATGTAGTAGAGCAGATTTGCTTACCTCATGGATCCCCAAAATAAAGAGACATAGGAAATAGGAAGGAAATAAAACAAAATATATCTTTCCAGGGCACACCCCAATTGACTCATTTCCTTAGATTAGGCCCTACTACCCAATAATACAATTATATTCTGAATCCATCAATGGCTTAATCCACTGATTAGGTCAGAGCCTTTAGAATCCAATCACTTCTTCAAAGGCTATCAGCTGGGGCTGAAGAGATGGCTCAGCAGTTAAGAGCACTGGCACCTCTTGCAGAGGACCCAGGTTCAGTTCCCAGCACCCACATGGTGACTAACAACCATCCATAACTTCAGTTTCAGGAGATCCAACACCATCTTCTGACTTCCATGGGCATTGCACAACATGAGTATACTTACGTGAGGCAATACACTCATAAGCATAAAATAAAAATAAATAAAATATTTATTTTAAAAGTCTATCAGCTCTAGGGGTGATGGTGCATGCCTTTAATCCCAGCACTTGAAAGTCAGAGGCAAGCAGATCTCTGTGAGTTCAAGGCCAGCCTGGTCTACATAGAGAGTCCCAGGCCAGCTGGAGCTATAGGGAGACCCTGTCTCAAAAAGACCAAAAACAAAAAACAAAACAAAATTAAGCAACAACAAAAAAACCAAAACCCTAGCAGTTGGCAAGCAAACCTTTAACATAACATGAGCCTTTTAGGTAGTATGTGTGTGCGGAGGGGGGGGGGACACACTTCATATCCAGACCATAACAGGAAAGAAGGCTCATGCAAGACACTGAATGAGAAGAATCTATTGAACTTGCTAACTGGAACTGAGATGAAGTTGTGGAAAAGGAGGAAATTAAAGTGCCTCTTAAGTTTCCTAGAATAGGATTGGTTTGGAATTAGCATTTACAAGTGAGGACAGTAATGATTTTAGTTTGAAATGTGCTGAGTCTGAGGCTGCAATAAGATACAGAAGTGGGTATGTCTAGGACATGGTAGGTAATTTGGGCCTGAAATCTTGATATAGAAATTTGAGACTTATTCAATTGATGTTGAAAATACAATCAAATCTTAGTAAAGTAAATAAATCAGCAAATACTTATATGCCTCTGTAAGAGTATATAACCATTATAACTACCTCTGAGGAAAAATATATATAGCAAGAGAAGAGCAGAGAGTTAAGGATGTAATGCTTGAACTTTGGGCATTTTTCAATTAGAAGGCAGAGAAGAACAGAGAACCAGTAAGAAGTAAAGGCAAGTGGGAAGGATGAGTCAAAGAAAGAGGAGATCCGAGACAGTGCACACCCACAAGGACCAAGAAAGGAGGAAACTCCAAAACAGAAGCTGAAGAGGATGAAAACTGAGTGGAAGCTGAGGAGTCTAGTCCATAGAAGGAATTAATGCTCCTTGTATGTGACCAGTTCTCTTGTAAATAGGGGGAAGTGATGAAATTATTTTAATTCAATAAATGTTTCCACTGATTATGATTAAGTGCTTCTCCCTGTCTTCTTTTGCAAATTGGCATGCTCTCAAAAAATTCAGACCTATATCTTTTTATTATAAAGGAGATGAAATTTGGGATTAATTTAATTCCTAACAAGGAGACAGAAATTATCATTTCTGACTTCAAGTTTTGGTCTACAGTGTAATACTGGGAAATAGGAATAATTTTAAGGAATTCTTTCACCATCATAAGGACTCTTGTTTGACCACGTTAGTAGAGCTCCTGCCTGTCTCTGATTATATTCTCCCTGCAGAATTTGATTTTACTTAGACTATTATTTGGTGGAAGAATAGACTTAAAAATTTGAGTCATGGCTGGGTGTGGTGGAGCACGCCTTTAATCCCAGCACTTGGGAGGCAGAGGCAGGCAGATCTCTGTGAGTTCAAGGCCAGCCTGATCTACATAGTGAGTTCCAGGACA